TTTATTCTTCTTTAATAATGTCACATCCCTAACATAGGTTCTTGGGGGCTATCTGGCATTGTCACAGTGCCATGGAGCAGGCTCTTTCCTGAGAGATCCTCACATCTATTGGGGTGAAATCCCCAGTTACATTATTGTTTCCATGTCTTTTTTTATTTAAAGACAAAAAAGAAAAACATAAAAAAACAAAGCAGTAAAAGGATACAAGTAATACAGACTTTCAGGAAAAAATACACAATAAGAAATAACTGGTCAATGGGTTACATACTGTATTCTTAGGAACAGTTGTCCAAATTACAAAATTAAAGCATATAAAGTGTACATTCATAGAGTGATATTGGAGACAGTTCTATTCAATGATCCAAGCAAAGCTCAGTAATATGGTTTTCCATCCTACACACAAAAACATTTCCATAGAGATTACCATTCTCAGGAAGCAAAGCATTGTGTAAAATGAGAAATGGTGACACTGTTATGTAGCTGAAATTTCCCCAAAGTGCCTCACAGCCCAGTGGTGAAGATGGCAACTCTGGATGCAGTGTGCATGCTGAATGATCACAGGGAGCACCTGCAGGTGGTCAGGTATCTGCCCACTGATACACTGTGTCTTGCAGCAGTGGTTCATCTGCAGATTCCACATCATGCAACCACAGATTCACTCCATATTTCTTTCCTCTTATTCCTGAGTTATGTTTCAGCTATGTCAGTACACTGATTTGTTTTAAAAATTGAATGTAAGACAGCCTGCTGAGAAACAGCTCATTAGGGAGTCAACAGCTGCCCCTGCCCCTGCACACTCCAGCAGCCCTTGGGATGCTCCCAAAACAGGGAGAAAGCATGACTGGGGAAAAGCAACAGCAGGACCTGTACCAGCACATCCTGTGGCCACAGCAGTCAAGAGAATCCAGGAGAATCAAACTTGCACAATTTGGAGAAATTGTAGCCAGTGTAGGCAAGGCCTGAGACCCACTAGCCACGTGTTTGGAAGAACCCATGAAAGAGTCAAGATGAAGAAGCAAAAGGCAGTCCATGGACTCCAACCAAGCAGACCAAGACTAGAAGAGAAAAACATGGAAGAGATTTGGAGTTGCACATGTGAAGTTTCTAAAGAGATGGCAATTTAATTAAAGAGACAACTTCAGGAGGCTCTAAAAGAATTTAGTGAGTAGAAATACTATACCAGGTAAAGGACAAAATGAAATGCATGATAAAGACTTGCTAATCATGTCTTAAAAAACACAGGTTTTAAAGAGGGAATTGCATAGGAATGGAGAAAACCTTTAATGAACAAACTAGGACAGATTTAGAATGCACAAAACAGATTCAAAGAGTTATCCAGGGAATTAAAACTTCCTTTGAAATCTGGAAAAACTGCTTGAAAGAAACAGAAGATAGACTTTCAGACCTTGAAGACAGGTGTGGAGGTTGCCATAGTAATGGAAAATCCCTTAAAAATAATAACAGGAAATAACAATTCAATGATATCATGATGATGATAATCAAAATAATTTAAGAATAAAAGGTGTCACTGAAAAATCAGGCATCAACACAAAATTCTATTCATGGAAGTAGTAGCAGAAAACTTCCCAAACATGGGAAAAGAATGTGACATACAGATAAGGCATATGGAAATCCAGCTAGCCATAACCAAAATAAATCTCCACAGAGACATAATAATCAAGATTCCAAAAATTCAGCACAAGAGCACAATATGAAAAGCTGCTAAAAAGAAACAAATCACCTATAAAAGAAAACCTATCACATTCATGACAGACTTCTTAACATGAAACAACAAGTCAAGAAGAGCTTGGAGTGAAGCATTTCAAGTCCTGAAAGAAAACAGCTTCCAACACAAATTGATGTAGCCTGGAAAGCAGTTTTTCTAAACTAATGGAAAAGCAAGATACTTCCATGACAAAGAAGAACTGAAGGAACTCATGGCCACCAAACCAACACTGCAAAGAATACTGAAGCACATTTTAGTGAGAGATAATAAGCCCAGAATTCCAGAAAGATCATCAGAAGGGGATCATGGATTGGGGAACACAGTTGAAAGAAGGGAAAAAGTAGTCAGCCAATGGTAGGAAAATAGCATGGCAGAGAACAGCCAGTTCTTGGAGGCCATAACATTGATGTAGATGGCCTCCATTCACCAATAAAAAGAAACACCGGCACAGTGGATGAGGGGACAAGACCCAGTACTATGCTTTCTTCAAGAAACACATTGAACCCAAAAGGAAATCCATAGACTAAATGCCTAAGGAGAGAAAAGTGCTCTATGTGACAGGGATTCAGAAACAATGTAGGGGACTCTTGCTCATCAGCTGTAGAAAGGATAGGAGAGATATGGCATTTCTATACAACGGAAAGCTACTCACCTCGAAAGAAAGATAACCTTGAGGCTCATGTGTATAAAGGGATATAACATGCAGTCACGCTCATGGTGAAATGATTCAGAGTCACATAAGTGAACTTCATGCTCGCTCCCTCGTTAAAAAAAACTAAAGGAGTTGATGGGATCCAAAATTAACAACAGATGTTGTTTAGGTGAAAGGGAAAGTGGTGTCTAGAAGGGGAAGGGAGTGGCCATTGTTAACCTAAATACTGTTTGATAACCTGTATTCTTGTTCATTTTTTAGCTTGGTTTTATTGATTGGTTTTGCTTGATTTTATCTAACTTGATGGCGTGAGTGTCTATTTCTGATGTAACAAAATGTAGTATGATGGTAGCCATTATGAATTTCCTATAATTATTTGGAGTAATGTATTGCTTGGCTTGTGTTTTTGAAGTGATTTTTTATTTGATTTTGCTGTGTTTGACTTTATTATGTCTGATGGTGTAAGCAGCTACTCTGAAGATATCAAGATGCTTTATGGTAGCCACTGTTTTATTCCAACTGCATTGCCCTGAAGTCCTGTATGGCTTTCATTGTTTTGTTTTGATTAGTTTTATTCTGCTCTTTTATTCAATTTTATTATGCCTGATGGTATGGCAGTGACTTTGAAGATAACAAGAGTCATTATGGTAGCCATTTCCTTTAATCTTGACATGAAGCCCTGTATCATGTTCTTGTTTTGTATTAAATGTTACTTCTATTTTATTTTTTTATTTCATTATGTCTGATGGTATAAACAGCTATATTATAGAAAAGAAGAAGTATTATGGTAGCCAGTGTTGTACTCCTACAGTCTTGTTTTGTAAGCCTGTATTGCTTTCATTGTTTTGTTTTGAATGGTTTCATTTTGTTCTGTTTTGTTGTATTTTATTGTGCCTGATGTTACAGGAAGTTTTTTTCGAGATTCTAAGAAGCATCGTTGTAGCCAGTTAGTTTCATTTTACCTTGTTTTGAAGTTTTATATCATCTTCATTGTTTCATTTTGATTGTCTATTCTATTTTATTTATTTCAGTTTTGTTCTCTTAAAAATAAAAAAAAAAAACAATTGAGTGTGGAAACAATTGTATTTTCTATAATCTTAATTTCAGATTTCTACAGAGGCCCTCATACTGTGTTGTGGAATCTCAGAGGGTCTGTAAACTCACTTGTTTGGAACGGAAGTAGAAGCTGGTGGAGGCCTAGGCCTGTTCACACTGGGATTTCCACCCAGACTCCAGGTGGAACTACTTGATGTGGCTTTTGGTGCCTGGATCCTGTTCCAGTGAGACAAATTCTGCAAGGGAGAAAGCCAGAGCCAGGTCAGAACCCTGGTCTATGGCCTTCACACTTTGGTCTTGTGACTGACAAATTACAGTAAATCACAACCACCACCCATTTCTTTCATCTGATCTACCCACAGGCACCAGTCAGAGGCCCTAATTTTAAACTAATTCACACACAGGACATATATGTCTCCCAGAACACAATCCCCAGATCATATTCTTTGAGTCCCTCTAGGCATGGCTTCATGTATGCTCTCCTTGGCTGGCATTCCTAGGAGGCCACCACTATACAGACAAAAATCAAAGAAGCAAGAATTACCATTGGTTTACAAACATAGGAGAAAGTCACAAGGGCAGGAGCAAAGGGTGCTTTGGGCACTGCATGGGGGTCTGTGACTGTTGGATGTCACCTGGTGATGTGTCACCATTGAACTCATGTACTTCTATTGCTCTAGGTTCCAATACTAACCCTGGACCCTGTGACAGCATAGGTTACAGTTGGTACATAGGCAAATGCTAGATGACCTATTTGGTGTTTTCTTAAATTTCTAAAGTAGCTGCTGAATCAGCATGGTAAATCAAAAAACTATTTAGTATGTTTTTAAACTTCTTTAAAATAGCTATTACACTTGTCTCTTTCCCACTGTGCATGCACTGTGCTTTGTTATTCCCAAATGTATCTCTGAAGTGCTGCCCAATTCAGCAGCTAGTCATCACAAAGCTCTTCATCACCCCAGCTCATAAAGACCTTTAACTGAAATAGAGCCCAAAGTAGACATAAAAAAGCATTTAACCAGATAATCTCATGGTTAAAAGGAAACTCAAACTGAGATGCAAAACCTGACAGCAGCAATGACCTAATGCAGTTTAAGCTGCAGAAGGCCTGAGCAAGGCCTTCACAAGGGCTGCACCCTGCGACTGTCAGGTCCCTTGGGCACACAGGCACATGGCCATGATCACATGCTTTGGGACAGCACAGAGGAAAAATGGCTCATTCTTAAAATAGCTACATGGATACAAAGTGTTCTTGTAATAGGATCACTTTCCTATGGGCTAATATGAGTTAAAAACTCAATGATATGACACCAGGGTAAATCCCAGGTCCACAGTGGGCACCAGCATTTAAATATGCTCACACCACGAGTCCCTCTCCATCATCTTTCATACTGAAATGACTGTACATTTCATGTTTTGAAAAAAAAAGGCCTGAGTATAAGTTTTTGTTAAGAATTCCTGTTGTACACAGGACATGGCAACTACTGCACTGTTAGCCAGAGTGTTTAGGGACAGAACTTTAGAGTAAGGTAAAAATCAGAGGGCACTTGTGAAGTGTTACCCATGTCATGTGAGATGGCAGCTGTTGTGAATTAAACCCTGGTGCAGCCTGCTCTTTTGTGGAGGCACTCTGATGGGTGTCTGGGTGGGAAGAGAACTTATGGGGGTGGCAGAGGGTCAAGCAACTTGACCTCCCTGCTTCACATCATTAGTCCTAGGGACAAAGAAACAGAGTGCTTAGGAGGACAAAAGGCCTCTTAGTATGGACGGCTTTACAAACTCAGTCACTCAAGAAGACATCAATGGCCATGGCACTGCTTGTAAATTACACCGCACAGAGCTATAGGATGCACTGTCTGCTGTAGGGGTGTGGGTCAGTGTTGGCGTGCATAGCCCAGGTCACAAGGACAGCCAGGTAAATGAAATAGTACTTTCAAACTCTATTCTGAGGATGCTGCTATCAGATGGCTACTTTTTCTGTTTGAATTTAAGTTAATAATATGGAGCACTGTAGAAAACCTAGAGAGTGTATGGGAAAGTTCAACTTTCAGTGGACAGATCATCTCCCCATATGTTATTGCATCACCAGGATCTTATATACCAAAGTGCTTTCCCTCCATGTACAGTCAGAACTTTCTCCAAATATTAAAAAAAGGGAGGGGTGTATAAAAGCACTCAGCATGTGATGGGTGACACAGTAAGAAAGTCTTGAAAAAAGGAAGAAATGAAAAAAGTCTCTCTTGACAAGTGCATGTTTTCACATATTATGCTTCCATTGTTGAACATTTTAGCATATTTTTTAACTTTAAACCACTATATTTCTAGGGGGTACCATGGGGGCTGTGATGTGGCTCAGTCATAGTGCCTGGGTTCTGCTTTGACTGTGGTGGGGAGAAAGGGGCAAAGGACACTGTGGAGGGCACAGCAGATATTTTCTAAAAGTGGAATTTGTAAGTTATTTACAACCACAACAGAATCAACCAACTGTTTATCCCAGCTGTGACTGATACCTAACCAGCACTGTGCTCCATGTTAGAGAGGTGCTGGGTGGGGCCAGGCAAGGTGCTCAGAGTTCCCTTCCTGAGCCCTCTGCCCATGGCCTTCACACATGGCCCAGGTAGCATAAGCCACCCAACCATCTCAGTCACTACATTTCTCTTCCTCTGCCTTTCACAATTTTGAGTGCCAAGGGGCTCTGAGCTAACTGCTGCTCTTAACCCAAGCTCAGAAACGGCCTCCTGAATCTGGAGAGCATGCAAAAGTGTAAAACCAAACAGTGGCTTTTAAACAATATCTCAAAAATGAATTAAATATGGGTGAGAAAAAAAGCGATGACAGTACAGAAAATGTGGTAGCTTTTTTCACTGACAATACTTGATATATAAGAATACATAGGCTTGCTGGCTCAGCACAGATGAAATATCACTAGGTGATATCATGAATTCATTCATCTGGTACCACATGCCATTGCTTGCCTGCAAAAGACAGCCAGCAAGAGAGAAATGTTAGATTTTGCAGGTTCACAAAGACACAATGAGAAAAAGGAGGAAAAAAAAAAGCATTCACTCATGACTGGTAAAATAGCCAGCTTTCCCCCCACAGAATGCTAGAGCTTGCTGTCTTACAGAGTCTATGTAAAAGTAAGAGCAAAATCCACATGGCTTACTGTTATGTGAGAGAAGTAGTAGCCCACACAGCACTTAGATCCAGTCTGGACCAGCACTGTGTACAAAGAATATTGCATGGGTTCTCCATTGGGCTGAGACTTGTAAGGTCTAATGTTGGCAAATTATGAGTATTTTATATTTTAAACAGAAATGGACAAAGGAGAAAGAATGTGATTTCTAAAGGCACAGAATGCCATATATGTTCAGGCACAGGGTATTTACTGAGTCCCTGGAGACCTGCACTACACAACACAGTGATTTTTTTGGAAGAAACCCAATGTGCTGAGTCACTTTTAAAAAGACTAGATAAACCTAAAAGACAATACACCTAAGGATAACTACAGTATTCTTGCAGTGTTTATTTTCCTTAAACAAATCAGGATGCACATTAAGTGAATTCCCCAAAAACATAACAGATGATAATGAGAAAATGACAACTCTGGGCATTCACCAAAAATTATTTTATTTTAATTAATTAATTAAATAAGTATCTTTCTTGACACAAGATCTTAATCTTTAGATCACACTGGCCTCAAGCCTAGGCTGATTTTGAACTTGCAAAACTTTACCTGCCTCAGATTCCCTAGTGCTGGCATGTAACTGTATTCCAGAGTCCTTCAAATAATTAAAGAATAGGTCAGTTATTTTTCATTGCAATTTTGTTTTTGTTGAAATAAGACTTCACTATGTAAGCCAGGATGGCTTAAAACTTGCTATATCATTCAATCTGGTCCCAAACTGCTAATCTTCCTAAGATAACTTTCTGAGTGCACCATTGTCAGCCTTGCCCATGAATTTTTGACCACATTCAACCTTTAGTAAGTGGAAAGAAAATAGGCAAATTGAATGTAAGTGAAACATCAGAAAACAAGAAAATAAACTTGGATGAAAGAGAGGGAAGATCTAGTGAGAAACTCCTCTTTGGAATCTCAGATTATACAAACTCTACCTGTGTACTTACATTACCATGAACATCAAAAAATTGATATGGATGCCTAATACTGATAAGAATTGCCATTTTTCTCAGCAGACTTAAACTCCAGAGTATAGTAAAGACACACATAATCTTAAGCACACAGACCAAACTCTTCACTTAATTCTTTGATTTTTTTCCTCTGCGATCCAATGCAAGAAAACTGTAGAAAGAAAATCACCAAAATTGTTCAGTTAGGTCATTTGTAACCCTGAAAAGCTACTGGCACATAGATATTGGCTCCACATAAACTGTTAAAAACATTATCTACATACCTTGGCAATTTTTCTATGGGTACAATTGGAGAATGTTTTCAGAGACAGTGTGAGAACATTAGATGGTCTGTGTATAGAAAGCCTCTTTGAAGCTGGAACCATATTGTTGCACTTGAAGTCAAGAGGAACAAAGGATTAAGAAGTCTAATGTATGGATTTTTTTATGTTTTTCTAGAATTCTACTCATTATTTCTCTGAAATACTCTAATTTAAAGATTAAACTGAAGAGGCCCAATGAGGGACTGCCAGCCAAACACCACCCCATCATACTTGCTACACTTGTAGCAGATCTCTCCTGCTAGCAGTTCTGGCTTCACAAACTGAGCCAATGCCTCATTAACACTGGGAACATCCTGAGAGGAAAAAGCATCAATGCCACATCTCCAACACTGTCAGTGGCTTGTGTGAGAGACAGAGAGAGCAAGGAAGGAAGCAGAACACACAGAAAATTAAAGCAGCACTTTAATGGGGAAAATATTTCTATGGGCCTGGTATGACTGTGTTGTCCAGTGCTTTGGAGATTGTAGCTGGAGTACTGTAAGATATGGTCCTGCATGATCAATTCAGATTCAATCTCAAAATGATTTTTAAAATGGACTGGGAAACTGCCTAATGACTAGAGGGCATTGGGATTAACTTCTAAGGGCACAAAAAAAAAAAAAAAAAAAAAAAAAAAAAAAACTTTTCCCATGAGGATGATTACCCCCACCCCCAATTAAGGTTTGCCATTGCAAGATCAAAACCAGATTGTTTAAGATTTACTAAGTGAAAAGTCAAAGAGTAATAAAGATTTAAAACTTGACTACCACAAAAAGTATAAGATTTACCTGTATCTCCAATGTAACATCAAGATACAGATCAAAAGCGTCTGAAACACCCTTGCAATTTAAACATTTGACTGAAAAAATAAAGTGATAAAGATAATCAAATTATAATCAATATGTCTCAGCTGTTTCCATACAAACAATTTAAAATGAAAGATAATTAAAATACTATAACTTTTCTTCTGCTAGATTGGCAGACAAGTTAATCTTATCCACAGTGTATGAAAAAGACTCATGAATTTGGACCTGAGTATACTACTGGATGAAATACAAATTTTTATGACCTCTTAGAAGGACAAAATGCCAATATTAAAATTTAAATTCTAACTTATGACTCAAATTCTAATACTAAAAAATTATAACATGCAATATAACTTATACATTGTAATGGTTAATATATTGGGTCACCTTTACAAGTTTTGGGGCTTAACTAAGCAACTCAGCATATTTGCATCCCACAGTGTAGAGGAAATGCCCTAGTGCAGTTGGGTACACACTAGGAGGCTATAATTTTCAATTTTTTGGACCAACTTGAGAAGTTTAAAAAATTAAACAATAATTTAGCAGGGTCTAGCATCCTCACTTTGCAAACATCCTCAGCCTGTGCAAGAAAATGCAGAGACATGCTCTAAAACTACCTACACTTATCCTAGGGCAGATAGTTTGCATGCAATATAAAGAGAGAAAAAAAGCTTGCTCCCCCAGTCTTTCTGCTCTTGCTTCTTTTGTTATATTCAGCCACCATGAATTGTTGCCTTCCTGCTGTGCCACTCAGCTTTGTAGCCAGCTGATAATGGACTGAAACATTTACAAATTAGAAGCTACATAAATCTCTTCTCCTTTAAATTTGGATCTCAGGTATTTTGCTCCACAATGAGAAGACAGTAAGACAGACATAAAGCATGAGTGCATGTTGCTGTTCAGTAATGCACTGGTGATAACAGAATAGAAACCTAAGTAACCATCCAAAGGAGAATAAAATAAGTGACCACTATGACAGGTATGAAGGAATCTGTTAATACTAAAGTTAGGACAAAAACAAAATATTGTATACTTGCCTCTCAATTACTCATGAATAAGGAACTACCCAGAAGACCATAGTAGAAACTGACATAGGGGTAGCCACTGAAGAGGAAGAAGGAGTCTATTTTACCTTATTTTGACTATTTGCATTCTACTACCACATGCAGGTGTCAATTCATGGACTTGTGAACACAATCTTACCTCTTGATCTTGGATAGCCTCCAAATACCTGAAAAATGAGTGTGGTGGCCTGAGTGTGTCTATCTAATCTTAAAAAGACAAAACAGTGATTTAACAATTCTGCTAAATTATAGATGCTATGACTACACTTTAAATGATGTATATTTATAAAACAACAGGCATGCAGAAAAGAGAGCAATTTAAAACTTAGCCTACATGGTACCCATAGATCAGCAGGGCCTGGGAGAACAAAGTAAGTATCTGGAGAAGAGGATGGAAGAAAGTTAAATCATGAAGGGACTATGAAATCAAGTCAGAAATTTGATTCATAAGCAAAGCAACAAGAGTAAAGCACTCCAGCAGCCTTGTCACCCTGTGTGGGATGTGAAGCAGGGAGGTAAGCAGAGCCTGCCATCATCCAGACCACGAAGGCCTCGACAGTGTGTGGAATGCATACCGATGTACCGATACCAGGTGTGTGGGCAGTGGCAGGTGGGTTAGGAACGTTACATAATGGTCTGTTCCATCTCTCTCTTGAGTCTGCATTTAGATTTTAGGAACAAGCTATAGGAACTGGTAACTAACAGAGAGTGAGATACAGAGACAAGAGGAAGGAAATATTTATAAGGCTGTAGGCCTACAGAGAAAATGTCTGCCTCAATAAGAAAGAAGCAAATACTTTTAGACTGCCAAAGCATGCTGGCACTTGGAAGTAAGTAACAGCAAAAACAGTATTCATTTCCAAAAATCTAGAAGTCAACAACTTCAAATTGTGATTGTAAGCAAATCTTTTTAAATTTTAGACACAGTAAATTATGCAAATCAGGTGGGAAACAGGCAATGGAGAGCCAAAAACTAAAAAGTTTCCAACATCAAGGGCAAAATATGTGTGATAAGCCAGAGATGCAACCCGAAGAAATGAATGGTACTCACTCATAGCTGCTATGAAAGCATGCTTCCTGCATAGCATCAAGAGTGTACTGAAGAAATTCGTGAGCATCTTCTTGGTTTCCAAATTGGAAGTGACTAGCTATACCTAGAAATATTAAGACAAGCTTTTGTCATTACCTATTAAATGCCTATGCTTCAATGTTACACTTTATGTTCCTTAGAAACTGCTGAACATTGTATTGAATAAGAAAGCAGCACTCACACAAACACTATGCACTCTCACCAAAGCCCACAGGATCAGCAGTTCCTGAGAGTGGAAGAGGAGCTACAAGGTGAGTCTCATGTCTTTACCATGTTGACACAATCCATTTAATAAAGTCAACCTCAGTTCTATTGACTCAAGTTCATCCAAAATATGAGGTGAGTGCACCCACTGTGAATATGACACTTGAAGCCATAAGAGATCAGATGCAGGACACACATAATCAACCTAAATCCTGTACCAATGACCAAGAACAAGGTATATTTTCTTGCCAGTCCCTCTCAATAACTAAACAGTTGCAAAAATAAATTATTTTTTCAAATTATAAATAGGACATCAGCACAAATGTACGAATAACAGAAAATGTATTATACAATGGTTTGCATATGTATATAAATATAGAAATATTCTCTAACTGAAATAAGGTAAAATTGCTACAATTTTACCAATTTGACATACAAAAATAGCAATTCCACGTTTAAACTGTATTTGTATACAAATGAACACATTCAGAACCATGGCACTTTTCTAAAGACTAACAGAAGTTACTTATACCTGCTAAAAGTAAATATATAAATTATCAAACAAAAACTGTTCTGGCCTGGCACATGCTAGACAAGTGCTTTATCACTGAGCTGTATCTAAAGCCCCAACATATTTTCTACCATTCTGATGCTACATGTGGAAGAGTATAGTGGGGCAAGTAAGAAGCAATTCTTCAGAGAAAATTTTGTGAATGATTGGACAGAATTATAAATGTGGTGAAGTTACAGAATTGCATTTGAAGTGAACATCAAAGAAAAATAAGAGAAGTGGGCTTGGGATTTAGCTCAGTTGTAAAAAAATTTGCCTGAGAAAGGAGAAAGGAGAAAAAAAAAGGAGAAAGAGAAGGAAAAGGAGGAGGAGTAAGAGAAGGAAGAGAAGGATGAGGACAAAACCAGAGGGAGTAGCAGGAGAAGAAGATATTCAACAAAGCAATCTGTTTCAATTTTATGTTTTTTGTCTTTTAAATTTTAGTGTTCATTTATAGCTTATTAATTTACAAAAATCGGTCCTACCTAAATTGTACCAGACTCCACTGTGATCTAAATATTTCTGTAATGTTCAATCTGCAACACCAATAATGCCAAAGCCCCATTTAATATCTAATGTTTAACAACTTTTAAGGCAAATAATTACATGAAGACTGAGTTCCTGGATAATATGTGCCTGCATTATACACATCACACAACATCCTCCTGTGTCTATTCCTAAAAATGTCTATGTTACTATCAGATAAAGATGGACTACAGACCAAAAGCACTGGATTCAATATCCAACACTGAATAAATAAAGGAATGACACAAATGTACAAAATGGAGAGACAGAGGGGAATACATATTTTATATAAATAATGCTTTCTCTATTTAAGTAGCAATGCACTGAGACAACAGAAATCCTGCAAGATGTGGTTGCACATGCCTGTGATTCCAGTGAACTGGGAATCTCAGGCAGGAGAATTACAAATTCAAGGGCATTCTGAGACAGACATAGAGACAAAGAAAAATTTTATATGTGTTTATAGTAAACAACACTCCCGAACACTGCATGAATCAAACTCAAACTTGTGAGGAGATAGAGGAACACCTACATTTAGAGACAGAAACCTGAACATCTTTCTGATAGTGACTGCCTGAAGAATTCAACAGAAAATCACAAACTGTACTGAAAAATTCAACAATATTCTCAGTCACCACACCAAATCAATCACCATTTACTTACCACTGCACCCTCAAAGAACAGACATTGTTTTAGAGACCTCAAAAAAATTAAGTGTTCTCCAATCACATTTGAATCAATACTGAACATCATGAAAAGAAAGATCATCTCCAAAGAACTGGAAACTGAAGACATTTAATCCAGAATTCAAAGAATAAATACCAAGGGAAGTTGAAACATACACTATGTGGAATAAAAATAAACTGGGTGCACAAAACCTGGCTGAGGGGAATTTACAACAATCATTAAAATCAGGAATGAAACTGGGGATATTATTATAATACAAGCTGTAAAACATTGAAAGGATAATAAATACTATAGAAATTTACACACCGAAATTCAGAAGAAATGGACCGATTTCTCAACAAAGTAACTACCACAATTCATCCATTGTAACTGATTTTTCTGCCCTGTAGTGTAAAGATGGAGCCCTAAAATGCTAAAAGGAAGGCTCTGTGTGAATTCCACTACATTGGGGCAATAGTGAAAGTTCTTCTTTTTGCCTGAAAATGAATGAGGTCTTCCAGTGAATGGCAGAGTGGCAGGATCTGATCTTTGTCCCAACTGTTAATGTCAGCCAGTGGGTGACATTGCCAACTAATGGAAGAGCTGGAGTTGGAGCTCAAGGGTAGAGCATTTACCTGAAATGTGGTTTTGATTCCTAGCACAAGTAAAACAGTAACATTTTAACAAATGTAGAAAACTTATGAGGTGATTTGAAATGCCAAATGATGATAAAATAAAGTTTTATGGAACACCATCCCCATGGACCATGGACAAAGTTCAGAGGGATAAGCACCTGACTGGTAAGCACAAGATCCTAAGTTTGATTCCCAGTACTAAAATAAATAAATACCAAACCCAGCTCACATCACATACAAAATGTTTTGTATGTCACGTAACTAAAAACCTAGACTCTTAAAAGGTAAAACAACAGAATTTTTTGTTTGTTTTTTGGCAGTAGGGATTGAATTCAGGACCACTGAGCTAAATCCTGAGCCTTACCAATTTCTTATTGATTACATAACAGCTTAATGCATCTCATTTCTGAGTGAAAAAATGAGTAGCTTACCATAGGCCAGCATAGAATATCACAGCTTAGCATATCATATTCACATAACACCACAGCACACAGCACTTATATGTCTTGGTGTGTTCACATGATAACATGTAATTGGTGAGAGGTGGCATGTATGTCAAACACTGTGGTGCCACAATGACAAAACAGGTGTTACCCAGATTCTGAAGCCCAGCACCAACTCTGTGTCTTTGCTGCCACTTAACACAAATCTTCTCTGACAGAAAAAGAATTTTCTGTGTTGGAGGAATGCCATCACCTATAGTTACAACAATAAACAGCAAACATTATAAAACAAAATTTGGCATGCTTCTAAACTGAAAGAAATAGTGATTCCTGATCAAATTTCTAAATCTGATTTTCAAGGCAAACAGGGATACTTTAAAAAGACACAACCTAGAAAATGAGAAGCTAAAAGATTTATTTGCTTCAATAAATAAATTAAAAACACAAGAAATGGGTACGCTTCACAATTAGAAGACATTTCATAGACATACCCAAACATGCCAAGTGCCAAATCCATGAGGATGTTGCTTTCAATGACTGAGTAGTGGAAACAAACTCTGCAGCTATGCATAATAGTGCACCCTTGTAACACTAACTACTCAACAGAGTGAAGTAAGAAGATTGCAAGTTTTAGGCCACTGTGGAAATTTTATTGCTTTAGCAAGATCCTGTCTGAAAAGAAAGTAAAAATAAAAATAAAAATAGCTCAGGATTTCCCAGGTATATTCGATGGTCATCTAGTACTGAAAAGAAATTATTTGAGAATCACAGATGCCTAAATATTTGCTAGAATTTTAAAATTATTATTATTTCCTAAAAACAATTCCATGCATATACAAACTAAAATTGTTCTAAATTAAATATGAAATATTGGACTATTGGCCTCAGTAGTGGGGATTGAACTTATGACATTGTACTTCCCATGCAGGTGATTATGCCCCTAAGCTAAGTCCCTGTCCCCATGTTGGACTTCTTTACAATACTGCATACAGGGTCAATGGGTGAGTTGTCCATATGTTAATAAATGTCAATACTGGAAGAAAACTTCAAAACAGTTCATTAGAATTACTTTTTATAGCTGCTTAACACAATCAATACAGTACACAAGTACACCAATACCCTGGAACATTTGTCTTGGATGCTTGCATTCAGTGCCACCACCATTCCTACTTTCATGTCACTGAGCCTTCCCTGGAATCACATGGTTTTAGTTCTGATTGTTGCTATGACAAAGAAACAACTTACCACACTAGGAAAATTCAAAATCACCAGGATAACGGGTTTATCAGTGCTAATGAAGCAAAGATGGCCTACAGGTTGCTCTCTAACTGAAGTGATATTAATGACTATTTAAGTAGACCATGGCTTGAGAGAGGATAGAGAACAAAATTTGGAAAGGAAAAATGAGTCTGTTGAGAACAACATAAGTATCCTAAAATAGGGGAGAGTGTGGAGAGAAAGGGAATCCCCAGCAATATGACAAGTGTGAAAGCCTTGCATAAAAATGTCCTGTGGGAAAGTCTTGATGGAAAAGGTAAAGGCCTTGAAGTTTGACATTTAACTTCAGATTAAGCTGTGTTCTGAGTTGTAAGGCTCCCTTCGCATACAGTGAAAACACCTTGAACAAACCATTACACACATCCCCACACCACAATATCAATGTTACTAAAAGGATTCAAAACAAGACAAGGATCAAATTATCCTAAGCTGGACAATATTTCAATTATAAACTGATTCTACTGTTGCTTTTCTTTGCATTTCAAACTGTCAGGAATTTCAGGCTGAACAGTTCCCATTGAAAGAGCCAATGTTTCATTATCTTTATAAATTAAAAAAAAATAACTGTGTTTACCTTACCTGCTCTTTTCCAAAGACAGACACTGTAAGTACCTAGTGAGCATAATAACTACTTGTTAACTGAAAACGTAAGAAAACTTACTCATCTCCATTCTGCCCAACACAGTCTACCCTTTGAAAACTAGGAATAAAACCAATGATACATATTTCAGTAACTAAATTTAATACCTGCTGTGATACATAT